GGAGGTCATAGAAGGCATATGACTCATTAGCCTTGCCTGCATCCCTCCACAGATGTTCATCTTGAGTGGGGGCATAAGTAACCACTACCACCACTCCTCGCCTCTGGTTGATGGGAAGGCGAGCCCAGAGTAGCCTGGGGCTTACAGCTTCCCACACCTCACCACCACGCTCCCATGCCCCCTTCATTCTTTTATTCAGAAGAAGAGCCACACCCTGTTGTTTGGCAGTCTCCTGTCCCGAGTAGATGATTGTCCACCCCTCATGGTGGCAGGAACCAGAGCCAGTCCACCGGACCTCCTGAATACCACAGAGATCCAGGCGGTACCGGTGCAGCTCCCGACAAAGGAGTGACAGCCTCTCCTCCACAGTGAGCATTCGAACATTCCACGTGGCCACACATAGTGGTTTTTTGTTGTTTCTGGAGGAGCCCCGAGGGTAAGGATTCAGTCTCCTGGCTCTGCCAAATGGGGTTTGGCCAGGAGACGTCATAGACGCCTGTCCCCTGGGGCCTCCGGCACAAGCTTATTCATTAGATATTTTAAACGTGGTTTAGTGGTAATTAATTGAAGGTCGAGGGGTTACCAGCCCCTTGCACCAGTCCAGAGCCCCCATTTAGCCGCTGTGGTGGTTACAAACACCATGGGACGAAAAGCCAATCGGAATTCGCCCTCCCCCCACGGCACTGCCCTCGACATATGGACTTACACACACACACATCAATGCACACACACACACACACATGGACTTACACACACATATGGACTAACTCGCACACATGTGTAGTGGCATCGGTGGATGCCACTCCATGTCATGTGAAGCCGGCGTTGCACTCCATGTTCAGTGTCAGCCCCTGAGGACTAGGGGGCGAGAGCGCCTGGAGCAGTGCAGGGGTTCGCAGGGGGCCATGGCACTCTGAATGAACCCAGAGGGCTAGTGGCCGGAGGTACCGGTCATGGGGCTCCGAAAGAGGGGGCTGGGGGACCACAGGACCAGTACCAGGTACTTCTCAAAGGATCGAGAAGGGAGGCGTGGCTCGGGGCGGAGGAAGCCCCGGGAATGATTAGACAAGCTGGACCCCTGAATGGGTCCGGGGCTGTTGTTCACCTGAAGGCATGAAGCCATCACCCTGAAGAGAAGCCCCGAAGACAAGACCTGGACCCGAGCCGGGGTCCAGTCCGGACAGCCTCCCTCAGTTGTGTTAGGGCTAGTTAGCCCGGAGGGACTACCTCCCTAGGTTACCTGGTGGAAGGGGCAGATACCCCTTTGTGTTAGAGTGTTGTTTTTATAATAAACGTGTTGCCTCCAGAGAAGCCTCTCTCTCCATTTGTACCCACTACATTTGGTGTTAGAAGTGGCCGATTTGTAAAAACTTTTTAACTAAATATAGCATATATGGAAACGAGGCAGACAACACGTACCCGCTCTCCGGAGGAGGATGAAGACGACGCAGCAGCCCCGGGGTGGGCAGCCCCAGAGGAGGGAGGAGACACGCTGCCGGTTGAGCAGCACACCGGCCGATTGACTGATGGCTCACCGCCATCGGGGAGGGTGCTCCGAGCAGCGCACTCCCGCCTGGTTGAGCTCCTCCACACGGCCGCGGCCATCCTGGACGAAATCCACCGTGGGAAAGCTGCTGCTGAGAAGGAGAGGACGGAGCCGCGTGGGGCTGCAGCTCCCGCCGCCACTTCTGGAGTTCCCGCCGAAAATCTCCGGCAACAGGAGGTCTTCACGGCTCCCGCCCAAAGTTCCCGCCAACCGGGAACCGCCGCATCACCAGCGGTGTGATTGGCACAAGGGGCCGCCATCTTGGTAGGGGGGAGCGGCGGAGTTCCCACCAAGAGATACGGACAACAGCCTCTGCCGGTGCTGAAAAAATTCTGCGCCGCTGGTGGAGATTGGGCCACCTTCCAGCGGCACTTCCTCACCAATTGCGAGATGGCGGGGTGGACGGAGGTGGAGTCGCTAAGGATGCTTCCAGTAGCCCTTGACAACGACACCCTGGCTGCACTAGTGACCATCCTGCCAGCGGAGCGCTCCACTCAGCACCAAGCGATGCAGCGGATGGCGGCGATTCATGAGCCACCATCCAATGCCCGACATCACTTCGCCGCACGGAGGTGCGGGGACTCTGAGTCACCCCTCTCCTTCCGTAACGTGCTGTAGCACCTACTAAAACTGCATCCAAAATTTCTGATTCGGTTCGCTTTAACATCCAGAAGCTGTCCGAAGCACGGGACGTTTCCAGGGTACATTCTAATTCGCGCCAATTGGCTAATGAATGTCTACAAGGTCTGCGTACTTCTCGCCATGTGTGGAGTGCGGGTGACGAGGCGTGATTCCACTGCCCTAACGTTCCGGTGGGAACGTTACCGAAATAATTCAAGCCTTGGCGAGGGCCTGTCGTGATTGTCCGCGTCGTCCGGCCCCAATGCGTACAAATTCGGTGGGGCCGCTGGTGCCAGTTCGTCCACCCGTCATGCCTCAAGCCCTTTGTTGTGCTGCCTCCACAATGCCGGGTCCGAGTGTGTGACGTGTCCGACGAACTGGGGTGTGCTCCTGCTGGGGTGGATCCTCAGCAGAAGTCTGTGCCTCCACCCTCCGATGCCGCGCAACTACTAACACCGCTCCAGACGCCGCTGTCTTCTGCTTCCCCGGCTCCAGCCGCCGGGAGCTCCTCTGCCCTGCCGGATGCTCCCTCTGCAGAACCGGCTGATCCGCCTCACGTGCCAATCCCCCTCGACTCCTCCGGGGCGAGCGGGCCCGCTTCCACCGGGGGCCCGGCCACGAGAATCACCGTAATTTTATTATGCTATTCCTCAGTAGAGCAATGCAGACTGACAGAAATGGCTGAAAAGGTTTGCGTACTAAATAATATAGATATTGATTTAAATGCTTTTTTCTTTACTGTCCAAAAGTATTTTACAAATTGAAGTAGCTCCAGGAGTAGTAAAATATAGTAGTCCTAACAGTGAAAGATTTAATTTGCTCAAGGCATCTTTACACTTAAATTTACAGTGGTTATTAATCCAGGCAGTTTTGCACAAGGGACCTAGTTATCTACATAGCTTATGTCAGGACATTGCCATGACATTTATCTCAGCATGCTTCTACAGCTCACTGTGACCCACTGATAGTAGATGTGACTTTGTAACATGGAGTTTAGCGTTTTTTGTCTCGTAAATACTACAGAAATGTAAAAATATTTGGTATTTTCTGTAAGATGTATTTTTATAATGAATAGTGAGTGGTCTTTTTGGACATCAAGTCATACCTTAGTTATCTTTGCAGGTCCAAGACATGCATATGTGAATAACTATTATTAATTTTTAAAACATATCAGAGAGATCTGTCAATGTCCCTTCAGTGCAGTGTCATGAAGAAATGTGTTGAGTTCTTATCTTTGTGCTTGTGCACCACTACAAACAAGACATATATCCCACATATAGCCTTAACAGACTGTTGGGGAAAGTGCTGTTAGCAAGCACCTATGAAGGCTGACACCGCACACGAGGTGGTGGATGGCCAGCACCACACCTGGCAACCTTTGTCTTCCTAGTTGCGACGTATACACACTGCCCCAGGTACTAATGTGAGGCTGAGTCGACCTAGGGGAGGCACGGAACCGATTCAGATAATCGTCACTGTTGTTGGCCATGAGCGGGAATCGAACTCGGGCCATACCGCACAGAGCTAACCGTTGCTCTACCGCTCCCCACACTACCTGCTGCCAACACAGTATCACAGTATCACAAACGTTGTTATATTGTTATATTTCCTTTTACCTTACTTGCAATTGGTTATGTAGTTCACGGTTGGGTTAGCAAATATGTTAGCTCTTTGTTTTACACCACTTTTCATTTAAAATATAACAATCAGGAGTTCAATATATGGATAGTTTTATTTTGCATATCTCTGTTGAATAAATATCTGCATGTATATATGCATTGCAATGATTCCTTGTCGAATATCTTGTTTATTTAAGTAATTTACTAATTATTTTAATTGAAATAATTCACAAAACATTACGTGAATGAATATTCAGCATTGTTGAGGAAGATAGTAAAATATCTGGGTGATTTGTCTCCATTATTTGTGTACAATCACTAGGTTTCTTCGTGTTTATATTGATATATCTAGTTCCTCCATTGATAGATATAGATTTTTTTAAACAATTAATTTATTATAAGTATGAAAGCCATGCTATATGTGGTTTGGGCCATTTGACTAATACATTGCCTGAAGGCTCATTTATGGTAAGTATATTAATTTCAATACCATACGTCCCTGAGGTTTCTGAACATTTCAATGTGCCTAATTTAAATTCTATGGTGAAGTTACAGTGTACTTTTATATTAACTTCACTTATTTATATATTTTACTCAATGAGAGGAGAAAACACCTTTTAAGGATTAATTCAACTGGGCTTAAACTTCAACTTTCATTCTGAAAGTTTGTTATAGCTCCTGTGAGAATTAAAATACAGTCTTCACACAATATAATATATGGAACCAATGTTTTTATGCTAATTTCCCATGCTATGCCAGTTAGACATTCTGCCAGTTTGAAGTCAAGGAGAAACAAATGTGCCTCCCAAACATAATTTGCAAACCAACCATGGTCGTCTCATTTAGGAGTAATTTTCACCGTTTATTCTTTTGGAATTGCAGACTGGAGTGCAATTTAATGGCTGGCATTGCGACTATATTTCGGAACGACTTAGTGGTTTCTGACATTTCTGTAAAGTTGCCCATCCAGGTGTGTAGCTAAGAGAGGACATTGACGAGTGGCTATGAAATACTGTGCATGTAATAATATAAAAAAAAATACTTCCACATTTATGGGTCCATTAGTCACACCAAGGCTGGGTTTGGAGGCATTTTTTAAATTATGATTACCGGACCTTATTTGTTAAAGACTGCTTCGTCTCAATGGGACCACGGAGCCACATTACTAATGAGAGTGTTATTTCATGTTTTGCTTTTTTTACTGTGGTGAGCAGCATAGCAAAGAAGAGCGAGATAGCACAACTGGTGTTCGAGATGGAGAACATCACCAGTCAGACGGTAACGCGCCGCATCCTCTGGCACGTGGGCTCCTCTGCGCCGGGGCTGCCCCTGGAGGCCCAGCCAGGCCAGGTCACGACGGAGATCACCATCACACAGCTTAACCTCACCACTATCATCCCCTTCCCGAAGGTAATGTTTAACTCGAGATGATGAGTCTCATGCTTAGTTTCCACGACCAATGGGCATTGAGCTGTCTCTGGCCCCGGAAGGCCCAGGAATAGTCCAGGAGTAGCCCAGTAGTCGACGCTTGGGGTGCCCTCCATGCTTGTGAGAAAATTAGGCTCTGTGGGCTCGGCCCCTGCCTCTTCTTCCTCTTAAACCCATTTCTCCCTGTACTCCCCATGGCTGAGATTCGTGGGTGTGCTTCGCAGCCCTGTGGTCTGACCTTAGTTTAAAGGGACTATTTTGTAATACTGCGTTGGCAGTGTTGCAAAAGCACACCACATAACTCAACACATTCATCGATAACACTGCCTAAGCAAGGGAAAAATATATATATGCAATTTGTTTCGGTTTAGACAGTGTTACTGAAAAAGATGATAGGTGTTAAATTTAAAGGACAGGGCATACAACAATTCAGCAAGGGGATTCAGTCCCTTCCACCACCACCTCCCTCTCCCCTGATTTAAACTATTTTTTCATCCGTCACTTAGTTTCAACACTAATAAAGGTGGGACGTTAAACATAGAAAGTGATGCTGCAGCACGCACAATTTGCTTCTACATTGACTCCGTGACTTTATGACTAGAATCAGTCAGAGCATGTGGTCCAGGGCAAGATGAGAGCATGAAGAGAGCCTAGGGGGACAGTGTTAACTGAGCCAGCACAGTTAAAACCGGCTGTGGAAACAATGCATAAGTGAGTACCATGCTGAAAATTTACCGTGCGAAAACGTATTACCTTTTCTTGGTAAAGAGATTTAATAAAATATTATTGCTTCAGATTCAAATTCTTAATATACGAAATATATTTAGCAAGGTAACTTAAATTTCAGCTACATATAGAAAAGCATATTTTGTGGGTGGAGCGGTGGTGGAATAGTCAACACACTGCGCTGCAAAGCAAGTGACTTGGGCCCATTACAAGCCATGTATATCATTGTTTGTAAGTGGTACCAACCTTAAAATGAGTAGCTGGTGCAATATCTAATCGTCAGCAATGGGGAGTCAGTAAGTTAGGAATGGTGTTGACCTCACCTACCCCTTGTAAGCTTTGTCGACCTTAATAGAATTTCATTAAAACCATCTGCCCGAATATGATCTTTGTCTTCACATATCGGTTAGACTATTTCACAAATGTAATAAGCAAATAAATATATATAAATAGTCCTTTAATACACTTTTGGTACCATTTTCCATCAGTGGAAGGGATATTCTGTGTCAGTGGTGCATGTGTATACTGTTTTTTTGCAGATACTTTAAGCAAACACCAGCACGAATCACTCATCATATGCCAGCTTTCGTAGATAACAGACTATAGGTGAATTATAACTGTACTACCTCTATAAGTAACGGGGGTGTGGTGGATTTGCGGCGCAGTGGTTATCGTACTGCACTATGAACTCAGCCACTGCGCCACCGAGCCACTGAGTCCACAGCCATCGCTAACATAAGTGGCAATTTATATTTTGGTCCTCTCTTCACACACCCACACTGACCACCATTGTTAAATCATGGTCAAACAAGCTGAAAGTACAGGAGAAGCCTTCATCCAATGGTAGATTATTGAAGCAATGTACACTATTCTCATGTATTAAAAAATAAACAATATAATTCGACACATGTTTTAACCATATAAATGCAAAGCTTATGTCAACTTCGCAAAGATGTAAATAGTGGAATATGCAGCAGCACAAAAAGGACCCGGTATTGAGTGACTTGATTGGCTATTGGGGCAAAGTGCTTCAGGATAATTCAAGTTGCTTGGCCTTTTTACACAGGGTAGTGGGTTCGCAACCAGTATCACACTCGGTTGCCTTTCATCTCCTGCATGGCATGCAACACTCTGGATACTTATTTGTAGCAAAGTTGGCCAGGGCATTTGGCCAGCAGTCACATAGAGTGACAGATGTAAGATGCCATTCATAATGTATTGTGGCACCACCTTAGCTCGTGAGAACACTGCCATAATGCAGCTCAAGTGCAGGCCATATCACGAAGCATGATGAAGCGTACAGAGCAAAGTCTTGCCCACCCTTATTGAACTATTAAGTGTTTGCATTAGATGTGGGTGGAAAGCTTTACATATTTGAAAAACAGTTAAACTTGGGTGCACTCAATTATTTTAGTTCAAAACTGGCCAACTCAGACACTAAACTCACAACCATTATTACAAGCAAGCCCTACTTAAGATCTATATTCCAACCTATTACATACAGGTATTTAAGCAGTCGAGTTGTCGACTGTGCTGTAGAAATATTAGCACATAATACGTGATAATTTTAAACATTCGGTCATTGTGTGTCAGACTGTCAGACATGATGAAAAATACTTAATTACTAAAAGCTCTCATCATCATCGTCAGCCATGTTCTATCCATTGTTGGAAGAAGGCCTCCTCACACCTTGGCTACCCCACCGGGGTTGTTTACTGCTTTGTCTGCCATTCCATATGTTAAGTATAACCACTTATTCTGCAATATATAGCTCAACTCTCAATCTACGAGAGCAGTGATGTCTGACTGATAGTGTTTATCTAAAAAAAATAACAACCAGTATTTCACTTACGAATTAAATTCTAGCACAATTCATCAATCGTTGAAAGTATCGCATGATTTGTATTCATTTAATTGCAAGATGCACAGATTTTTTTCAGCAGTGTGCATAACATGTAAAATAATCCTAATGTCGAAATTCCCCCAGTAGGCATATTTGAGGATCAGACATTTTCCTTTCCGTTTTCTGCCTGTGCCCTTTGTGCTAACGTTCTACCAATTTATTTTTGCCTCCTACCTGATGCCACAATGATCCCACTGGTTCTAAGTGATCGCACAGTGCCATTGAGAGTTTGAATATTTGCGTTGAATAAGTATGAAACGAATATACATGACTCAAAGCCCTTTGTTCAGATCACTGCTGAATGAAGGCCATCCGGTGCCATATCAGTCATGAATGCTGTTTAACCATACTTCACTACTCTAGTTAGTACTGGGAAGGAGAGGCCTAAACTGATTCTGATATCACTCTCCGCGAATGTGAGTCGTGGCCAAGAACACAATTTGAGTCACCAGGTGCATTCCAGCAGTGCGCTAACCATCTTGCCACTGTTTCTCTCCAAATTGATCGTTAACTCATGACAATCACATGCTGGACATGCTAAAGATTATTAAAAATATTGCCTGTTCGCCACTGATGTTAGCCTAGACCCAGAAATTAACTCTGGTCGCCAGGTTAATTATGTAGCGCACTAACTACTTCACACATGTTTCATGCCAAAACAACTTATGTTGTGCAAATGTTTATATTTCATGGCAATCAACCCCTTTTCTGTTGCCATGGTGTTTCTTTAAATGTTAGCTGCTGTGTAGAATTCGAGGCATACTGATTCTGTGCACATTCGTTTACTTTTTTAAATGTAATTCTCCAGAGATGGCTGCACTTGCTGACTGATCATTCGTTAATAGATATAACTATACCAAACATTCCTTTGCATGAGCTGCGCTAAAATGCTCACATAACAATGATATATGTTGCCATTTATTTAACATGCACATGAACCAAAAAAATACGGTTTATTATTTTTTACATTACCATATTTAGGTTTTGTTGAAGTATTTCTATGCATTTATAGATCGCATGTGATTTTACATAATTTTTACCTGGTGTTATTGTCAATAAGGAGGCCCTTTCTCACCATCTAGTGGCCAATTTGAGCAATCATGGATGTTTTTGCGTTCAGACCTCGTCATGATATCAGTGCAACGTGGCTCACGCAAGGGAGCAATGCAGTGAGATTTCTTCATGGAAACACGTGGGATATTCTCCTTACTCAAATGGTGTTACCGATTGTAGTGTCGAGTGCTTGGATTTAACAAGTGTCAATTATCGGTTTAGTGTCACTATGTATGGGGAGCACATGATTAAACTCACATTGGCTTTTGGCTAGGTATCAAAAAGCAGATGGCCACTGCATCGCGCGGTTTCAGATGTGCTTCTGCGGCCGTCTGGAACACTCTTCCTTCCGATATTAGGAAGCCACTGGAGCTATGCATTTTTTTATGTAGATGTAAAACTCATTTCTTTAGAACTAATTTTTGTGTTTCATTTGTTGTCCTTTCCCGCAACTGATTAGTACGGGTAGCTACGTACGATATGAAAGAAGTTCAACATAGATACATTAGTAAATACGACATAACACACTTCTCTCGAGATGGCACTTAATTGAAGACACGTTCACTTGACACAAGCAGAGACCCCACTGCAACAGCCCCCAGTCTCCCACACATCTCCCTTATATACGGACCGAGGCCACGCCCACCTTCCCGAACCTTCTCGCTGACTCTGGACGCTCGCTCCACCAGCAGATTTTACCGTCCTCTTCCTTCACCTGACCGGGCTCCCTTCTCGATCATTCCCGTAGCCACCGGTTCCTTCACACTCACAGCTGACACCCCCTGTCATTATCTCCCGTGGCCACTAGTGCATTCACACTGTAGGCTGACTCCCCTGTCATTACCTCTCGTGGCCACTAGTCCACTCACACCGCATGTAGACTCGACTGTGATTATACCTTCATACTAAAGAACAGACTGGATTATGCAATAACCTGTGGCTGCACTCTTTGATACACCGTGCCCATGTAGATATGGACTTCACCGTGAAACCGTAATATTGTTTGACAAAACTCACACATTATTGGCATTTTTTAATGTTTTAAATTAAAATATACCTAAATAAAATATTAATCAAATCAGGTGGTGCAGCATGACAGTAATAACAATAAACTATAGCAAAATTGGCCCAAGCCCCAAAGGGCTTTACATGAAGCCCAAGTTATGGAAAATGCATGCTGTAAAAACAGGTGAGTTTTAAGATGCGATTTTAAAAAGTGTAACAGACTCAGATTCCTTAATAGACCGAGGAAGTGAATTTCTCAATCACAGAGCCTGGCTGCAAAAATGATCTGTTTCCCATAGAACAAATTCTGGCCTTTAGATTAATGAGTTTCTACCAGAATGAGCAAAACTAAGTTTTCACAGTGGAATATATAAATGTATCAAATTGGTGAGATAATTAGAAGAGCGTGTGTCTTGCAAGCATGATGTTAAGAGTTCAAATATACAGTGAGGGAAAAAAGTATTTGATCCCCTGCTGATTTTGTACGTTTGCCCACTGACAAAGAAATGATCAGTCTATAATTGTAATGGTAGGTTTATTTGAACAGTGAAAGACATATAACAACAACAAAAATCCAGAAAACGCATGTCAAAAATTGTATAAATTGATTTGCATTCTAATGAGGGAAATAAGTATTTGACCCCCTCTCAATCAGAAAGATGTCTGGCTCCCAGGTGTATTTTATACAGGTAACGAGTTGAGATTATGAGCACACTCTTAAAGGGAGTGCTCCTAATCTCAGCTTGTTACCTGTATAAAAGACACCTGTTCACAGAAGCAATCAATCAATCAGATTCCAAACTCTCCACCATGGCCAAGACCAAAGAGCTCTCCAAGGATGTCAGGGACAAGATTGTAGACCTACACAAGGCTGGAATGGACTACAAGACCATCGCCAAGCAGCTTGGTGGGAAGGTAACAACAGTTGGTGCGATTATTCGCAAACGGAAGAAACACCAAAGAACTGTCAATCTCCCTCGGCCTGGGGCTCCATGCAAGATCTCACCTCGTGGAGTTGCAATGATCATGAGAACGGTGAGGAATCAGCCCAGAACTACACGGGAGGATCTTGTCAATGATCTCAAGGCAGCTGGGACCATAGTCACCAAGAAAACAGTTGGTAACACACTACGCCATGAAGGACTGAAATCCTGCAGCGCCCGCAAGGTCCCCCTGCTCAAGAAAGCACATATACATGCCCGTCTGAAGTTTGCCAATGAACATCTGAATGATTCAGAGGACAACTGGGTGAAAGTGTTCTGGTCAGATGAGACCAAAATGGAGCTCTTTGACATCAACTCAACTCGCCGTGTTTGGAGGAGGAGGAATGCTGCTAAGGAGACAGGACAACTTCACCGCATCAAAGGGACGATGGACGGGGCCATGTACCGTCAAATTTTGGGTGAGAACCTCCTTCCCTCAGCCAGGGCATTGAAAATGGGTCGTGGATGGGTATTCCAGCATGACAATGACCCAAAACACACGGCCAAGGCATCAAAGGAGTGGCTCAAAAAGAAGCACATTAAGGTCCTGGAGTGGCCTAGCCAGTCTCCAGACCTTAATCCCATAGAAAATCTGTGGAGGGAGCTGAAGGTTCGAGTTGCCAAACGTCAGCCTCGAAACCTTAATGACTTGGAGAAGATCTGCAAAGAGGAGTGGGACAAAATCCCTCCTGAGATGTGTGCAAACCTGGTGGCCAACTACAAGAAACGTCTGACCTCTGTGATTGCCAACAAGGGTTTTGCCACCAAGTACTAAGTCATGTTTTGCAGAGGGGTCAAATACTTATTTCACTCATTAAAATGCATTCAATTTATAACATTTTTGACATGCGTTTTCTGGGTTTTGTTGTTGTTATTCTGTCTCTCACTGTTCAAATAAACATACCATTAAAATTATAGGCTGATCATTTCTTTGTCAGTGGGCAAACGTACAAAATCAGCAGGGGATCAAATACTTTGTTCCCTCACTGTACGTGAGGGTTAAACTCAGACGTGTGTGCCTATGGTCAATAAGATGAGTACCACTTTGTGGATAAATCAACAGTGGTTGTCCAATGGAAAATCTCACCCTCACCATAGAAATGTGGAACTTCCACTACTTCCTGAGGCCTTTAATGAAGAGATAAGTGCTCTCACACTCTCAATTGAGCAGGAATCTACAAATAACACGCTATGTGCACATTTTAAATAGGGTTGCCACCTGCCCTGGTTTTCCCAGGATTGTCTGTAAGTCTACCCAGGACATTACATTCCCAGTTTTGTCAGTTGCACAAGAATACACCATTCGACACAATGCATATATAGGTAGTTCTCCCCTCTAAAAGTATTGTGAGATATTATTTTTCCCATGATACGTCACGTTCCTTTTTTACCCCAGGGGTTAAAAACTCTAGTTCTATATGGCCTTGCCCCACGTTATCCTGCTTCTCTTATATCTATGCTGTCCCCCTCTCGTCCTATTCATTCTCATTCTTCTATCATTTTCGATCTTTCTCCTTACACCCCTCCACTGGAATACACTTCCCTTTTACATTAAGCAGTCCTCCTCAACCTTCTTTCATTCCTCTCTCAAAGCTCACTTCTTATCCATTGCCCATTATATTAGTCTTTCACCCCTTCACCCCTCCACTCCATCCCGTCCCTCCCTTGTCCTTTCGTGATCCCTATGTGCCTTCTGTTACGGTCACTCATTCCTCAGCCCTTGCACGCCTCGACCATCTAAGTCACTTGATTTTGTTACTGATTTTTAAAGTACGAAATTTCCCTTGAGCTAAGGTGCTCTGTAAATATAACAAGATAAGTGAATGAAATCAAACATGGTCACTACATGTTGGTTTAAGGTGCTTGATTGTTTTTATTGTTTATTTTAATCCCATTTTTAATGCTGTTAGTTTCCAGAGCTGGTGAATACGGCAGTGCTGACAGGCCAGCTGGTGAGAGTGCCCTTACAAGTGGTGGCTATTGACACGAGTGGCATTCTATTGGATGTGTCGCAGCGTGCACACTGCCAGTCAGCAGACGAAGACGTCCTTAAGGTACCACAAAAACGTGTTCTAATCGGATTATAATGCAATACTTATAAGAGCTTCTGCCTGCAAAGGACATTCAGGAGAGTCACTGGGCAATATCCAAAAATGCTTCACATTCGGGAAGTACTTTTTTGTCTGACAAAATGTGCATACATCCTTGAGTGCCATTATTTACAGCCACAGGGTATGCAATTGTTTTCCTTTGAAAGATATGGGTGTGAAGTTTTCCCTGCAGTCAACTCTAGGTTGCTGTCGACACTAGGTTCCTGTGTAAAAACCTGGACAGAAGAGTTGTTTGCTGCATGTTATTCTCCAAGTGTAGCATAGCAAAATGAATGCACAGGCATATCTGAAAAGCTCGGAGCACAGACCTCAGACTGTCGAAATACAGTACACCCTACTGCAACAAGTTGTGCAAATGTTTGGCCCACCATTATGTATTACCTCTATATGCTCATCCTGCCTTATTTTACACCAAATGTATAATTATTGTGCTGCATCATGGGATTTCTCGCACACACAGGAGGGGTTTAATAAAGAATCAGTAGATGGTGATTGGTTTAGAAATTATATTGTGCTTACTTTTAAGAAGATTCACCAACTCACTGAACAACCAATTGTGTTTTTGTACAGGTATTTGAAATAGTCTTGTTAAAGTGTTAACTGAAATTATAGAAAGCATACTTGAGAACAGTGATAAAAATATCAAAATAAGTCCAAGAGTTCTGAATGCATACTTTGTGTTGTGATATGATACAGACACAAGGTTTGGAATTAAACATTTTATGAGATGAAAAAAAAATATTTTTTAAGCATCAAAAGAAAGATATGTTTCCCTCATAATGTTTCAAATGTATTAGGTTGTGCATACAGTTTAAGTGTGAGGGAGTTGTGTGAAGATTATGCATGCTATGTGCATCCTGCAACTTTAACAAGGTCGATGCAGGGCACTGCGGTGGAAACATGTGTGCCTAACAGCAAGAAGGGCCTGGAATAGATTCCTGACTTGCGTGCCTGTATGTGTGGTATTTGTATGTTCTCCCCTGGCTCTGCATGTGTTTCTTTTTAGTTCTTGGGTTTTTCTCATAGTTAAAAAAAACATAGAATGTCACCGGTGTATGACAAACATCCCAATGCTGAAACATTACCTGTCTTGAGACTTGGTGAGGTCTTCCCACGTAAACAAGTGTAATACTAATGTAGAACTTGAAATGTCACACGCCACGCATTCTGTTGCTAGGGGAGCGAGCAGCGTACAGTGGGGGCAAATGAGGATACAGTTGTTGGTGTGTGCCATTGAGGGGGAGGTCATTAAGAGACACCACAGGTGTTAAGGGTAACTGAGGACGCAGGCTGGTGATTGGTCAGGAGGGTGAGTGGCTGATGACTGGCGCCGGGCTGACGGCGATAACATGGTCACGTGAGGCTGGGGGCCTGGGGGCGAGTAGCGAAGCGGGGGATGGGATAATTAATTGGGGCTGATTGGTTCGGGTATAAAGGCACACCGTAACGGAGAGACGGGAGTCTTGGTTGGTGTTGGAGTCGGAGTTGGAGTGGTTGGTGCCCGGGACAGAGACGGAGCAGCAGGGAGCAGAAATAGATACGATAAGGGTGGACAGAGAGAATACAGATAGGGTAGCAGTGGATAGAGAGAGTACAGCGTACGGTAGCAGTGGATAGAGAGAATACAGATAGGGTAGCAGTGGATAGAGAGAATACAGCGTACGGTAGCAGTGGATAGAGAGAATACAGATAGGGTAGCAGTGGACGGAGCGAGTACAGAGTAGGGTAGCAGCGGAGTAACGGACCTTGGGGGAGAGAGAGAGAGAGCGAAGTCGCGGAGTGGAGCGAGCGAACGGAGAGACATGGAGTGATGATGATGGCGGTTTGTGCATTGGAGCGAACGGAGAGGCATGGAGTGATGACGAGGAGGAGGTGTGAACTATATGCGTGAATAAAAGAGACGAGAAAGACAAGAAGCTGTCGCATCAGTACGAGTCCTACACTAATAATGGCAATACAATTACTGTATTATGGAAGACTGTTGATGAACCATGATAAAGATTCCTGAGACCGTTGGCTATTTATACAATACAATATTGAAACTATATATTTTTTTCACTATTTTTGTTTTACCAGGTAAGACCCATTGAGCTATGTAGCTCTTTTTCAGAAGCGACCTGGCCACAAATGGTAGCTCAACGAAGTGGCTTATCATGTGGACGTTTATAGCAGCCAAATACTGGAAACACATGTTTCTACATGTGGAGGGAAAACCCGGAGGATCCGGAGAAAATCCACGAGACCACGGGGAGAACATGCAAACTCCAAATTTCCAGGCGCCAGGGTCGGGATCGAACCCACGACCCCCTACATACCAGGCGAGGTATTTAACATCTCGCCACAATGAACAAAATAGACTGGCAGTTTGGAGATAAACAAATTAGCTGCAAGATGGGTGCTTAGTATGTTGCCCAAAAATAAACTAGAGTCAAGAAGTTAGGAGCTCCTGGACCAGTACCAATGATACACTGAAATTTCTCTCGCCAGATTTGTGATGAAAGATGAAAAATGGGTCCACTGTTTTGATCTAGAAACCAATGCGTAGAGTTTTCATTGGGAATGCTATGGATCACCCGTGCCATTAAAATTTTGAGTTAAATCCTCTGCTGACAAATGGCCTCAGGTTTCTGGGTTACTGATGGAGTCACACTGATTATTTGGAAAATGAAGGGACAATGAAAGTGCATTACTGCGTAGAATTAATCACAAGATTAGATCATGCGATAAAATATGTGAGGTGGCCGGGTGACTCAGAAGTCAGAGCACTCTGCCACCATGACTAAGATCCTAGGTTTGAATCTGGGTTTCATCCCTGTGATTATATATCTTCATTTAAGGCAGTGTTATTAATACGTGTTGAGTTTTTTGGCTTATTTGTGCTTGTGCGCAAATAATAAGTAATGTAGCGAGTTTATGCTGAAAGAGAAAACTTACGTGTGAAAGAGGTGATGAAATTTGAGATGTGAAATGCTGTTTCACCAGGACAACATTCCAGTTCACAATCCTCGAGTTTCCATGGCTGCTGTTCACAATGTCAGATTTATAGGAATGTGTTGGCCACCACACCATACTCACCAGATCTGGCAATATGCAATAGCATTGAATTGATTTGTGCTGCAAACTGGTCTAAGATATCTACATTATGGGGACCTCATTTGCCAGTAAAAATATGATAATTGGTTCTTTACCCTTCTATCTGGCAACAAAACTGACACCTTTTTGCAAGGAGTCATGTTTGCATAGACCGCAATACCTGCAGTCATAATACAAACAAAAGAACATAACTCTGATAATGTGCACTGTCCTTGAAGTTGATTGGTCCACACCCGAGACAGCTTTCCTTCGAGCCTAGTCTCATATGGGTTGGACCAGATGACGCCAAAAGGCGCACAACTCAAGGACAATGCACCATCAGAGTATGAGAGCTCGGGGCAAGCATCTACACTATGGGGACCTCATTTGCCAGTAAAAATATGATAATTGGTTCTTTACCCTTCTATCTGGCAACAAAACTGACACCTTTTTGCAAGGAGTCATGTTTGCATAGACCGCAATACCTACAGTCATAATACAAACAAAAGAACATAACTCTGATAATGTGCACTGTCCTTGAAGTTGATTGGTCCACACCCGAGACAGCTTTCCTTCGAGCCTAGTCTCATATGGGTTGGACCAGATAACGCCAAAAGGCGCACAACTCAAGGACAATGCACCATCAGAGTATGAGAGCTCGGGGCAAGCATCTACACTATGGGGACCTCATTTGCCAGTAAAAATATGATAATTGGTTCTTTACCCTTCTATCTGGCAACAAAACTGACACCTTTTTGCAAGGAGTCATGTTTGCATAGACCGCAATACCTGCAGTCATAATACAAACGCCTTTTGGCGTCATCTGGTCCAACCCATATGAGACTAGGCTCGAAGGAAAGCTGTCTCGGGTGTGGACCAATCAACTTCAAGGACAGTGCACATTATCAGAGTTATGTTCTTTTGTTTGTATTATGACTGCAGGTATTGCGGTCTATGCAAACATGACTCCTTGCAAAAAGGTGTCAGTTTTGTTGCCAGATAGAAGGGTAAAGAACCAATTATCATATTTTTACTGGCAAATGAGGTCCCCATAGTGTAGATGCTTGCCCCGAGCTCTCATACTCTGATGGTGCATTGTCCTTGAGTTGTGCGCCTTTTGGCGTCATCTGGTCCAACCCATATGAGACTAGGCTCGAAGGAAAGCTGTCTCGGGTGTGGACCAATCAACTTCAAGGACAGTGCACATTATCAGAGTTATGTTCTTTTGTTTGTATTATGACTGCAGGTATTGCGGTCTATGCAAACATGACTCCTTGCAAAAAGGTGTCAGTTTTGTTGCCAGATAGAAGGGTAAAGAACCAATTATCATATTTTTACTGGCAAATGAGGTCCCCATAGTGTAGATGCTTGCCCCGAGCTCTCATACTCTGATGGTGCATTGTCCTTGAGTTGTGCGCCTTTTGGCGTCATCTGGTCCAACCCATATGAGACTAGGCTCGAAGGAAAGCTGTCTCGGGTGTGGACCAATCAACTTCAAGGACAGTGCACATTATCAGAGTTATGTTCTTTTGTTTGTATTATGACTGCAGGTATTGCGGTCTATGCAAACATGACTCCTTGCAAAAAGGTGTCAGTTTTGTTGCCAGATAGAAGGGTAAAGAACCAATTATCATATTTTTACTGGCAAATGAGGTCCCCATAGTGTAGATGCTTGCCCCGAGCTCTCATACTCTGATGGTGCATTGTCCTTGAGTTGTGCGCCTTTTGGCGTCATCTGGTCCAACCCATATGAGACTAGGCTCGAAGGAAAGCTGTCTCGGGTGTGGACCAATCAACTTCAAGGACAGTGCACATTATCAGAGTTATGTTCTTTTGTTTGTATTATGACTGCAGGTATTGCGGTCTATGCA